ATGAGGAGGGGAGAGGGGGAGGGGAGAGGAGGAGGAGGGGAGGGAGCAGGCGAAGGAGATGGATGATGTAATGCAGGAGCAAGGGGACGAGGAGGAGAAGGAGGAGGAGTAAAGGGAGGAGCAGGAGGAGGAGGAGGAGGAGGAGGAGGAGGAGGAGGAGGAGGAGGAGGGCGGGCTGGCTGGCTGGCTAGGAGGAGGAGGAGGAGGAGGAGGACGATGGGTAGGGGGATGCATGGGTGGGGGTGCTTGAGGAGGTGCAGGAGCAGGTGCCACTGGTGGAGGACGACAAATGGCGCGATGGGGAGATGGAGGGCCAGGAACAACGAGGAGGAGGAGGCGGAGGCCGACGAGGAGGAAAACGCAGTGGCGGCGGGGGGCGCAGGAGGCAGTGGCAGCACACCATCAGCAAAATGGGAAGGATGAGGATGAGGAGGACGGGGAGGAGTTGGAGGATGAGGACGTGTAGGAGGATTTGGGCGTGGAGGTGGATGTCCTGCTCGCGGCCTCCGGGCGTTCACCGCTGGGACTGCAGCGGGGAGTCCCCATTTCGCGCTGCTGCCTCTGATTGAGTAGCATCCTGGATCATCCTGCGGAAAAAATAGCACGAGTAAAACCGAAGCATGCACGGGGAGTGGACGTCCGAGCCATGGCAAGAGAGGGGCCCCGGGGAAAGGGACCTCCGAGACTGGCGATGTCGCTGACTCGAGTCCGCTCGGCCTTGCCCAGAAGGCCGCCGCGCGACGCCTTCGCTCTCGCTCTTCTCGAAGTCTCGGGTGCAGCGCCACGGCCTCAGAAGTCCCTGTCGCTGGCGTCCCTTCCGTCATGAGGAAAAAAACTTGGAAGCCTCGCGCGGCGCGCAATGGTAGTATGCTGTAGTCCACTTGCCAGTGACGTGAGCTATGGGTCGACGCTCGCGCGGCGAGGCTCTGGAGTCAGTCCGACGCACATCCGACGCAACTCCGTCGTCGTCCGACGTGAACCCGACGTAAATCCGGCGCACCTCGGGTCTCAAGATGCCGCGCGAGGCCTCGCGGGACTTTCAGGCCTCAGAACAAATTAGCGAACACATGCCACATTCAAC